GGGCGCCTGGGTGGCTCAGTTGGTTAAGCGACTGCCTTCGGCTCAGGTCATGATCCTGGAGTCCCGGGATCGAGTCCCACATCGGGCTCCCGGCTCGGCGGGGAGCCTACTTCTCCCTCTGACCCTATCCCCTCTCGTGCTGTTTCTCTCTCTCTCTCTCAAAAAAAAAAAAAAAAAAAAAAGATTTAAATGCAGTGACATGCATTACTTCTATGCCAAAGCGAGTCACGTAGCCAAAGGCGGTGCAAAGTATGATCCTATCACCTGCCCAGAAAGCTGAGAACTGGAATATTTGATGTCCAACACCAGTGATTACCACATCTATTAAGTGAACATCGTGAGTCAAACTATGTGAAAAGGAAACAGGGAGATAAAGTAGATAGCTAGAGCTAAGCTACAACAGTGGGTGGAAGGTGATGAGAGCAGCAAGAGACAGATAAAATGCTGAGGGAATTCAGGGGAGAGCAAAGTTACTTCTGGCACCAATGGAGAAGCAACTATAAATAGTTACTACTTGCCTGGAACTATCTGACACATCTGGAAGACAGTTCCACCTAATTAACTCAGAGGCTAGCCTTGAGAAACCAGATATCTCATCTGTATTATAGAGTACAAATTCCACTGCACACATCCTGTAAAAATGCAGAGTACAATATATATACTAAATGCACACACACACTTTGAGGGTAATTCTGTGTAAATTGTCTTTTTAAACCACTCACTCTGAGATAATAAAACAACCATCTCTGAACCAGTCATCAGATCACCCAGACCATTCTAATATCTCGGAAAGGGGTAAGGAAGGAAGTAGCCTGCAGTTACTAACATTGCACTGTTCTGGAAACCACCAGAACAAGAAATGCAATGAAAAAACATAGTAACAAAAAGACAATTTCAATTTCCTAAGCAAAATCTTGTGACATTATTGAGAGACTGGTTGGTTGAGAGACCTCTTTTGCTCTTCTAGGCTCCCATGGCCATTTGGAAAGGAGCTAGTTATATCTGGGAATATTTTATATATTACAGAATTGTGAGATTATTGGATTTTAAAGTATCAAGGAATGTAGAACTTGTGGATGCCACCTTCCCAAGAATACCTCATGGAAGACCTGTCCTCATATGTCTGCATAGGTGGGTGGTTCAGTATTATAAACCTCAGAAAAAAACAAGTACACCTTGTAGAATATCTACTGATCTGCCATATGCGCATAAGACATATCCCATTCTATCGATCAGTAAAGGGAACAAAACAACCTACAGAATTTCTCATGAAATACAACCTTATTCCCTAAACCACATCCTCACTGAGAAACCAACTGGCAGACAATTCTCTATTAAACCAGGAAATGGCAGGGTTACCAATGTATAATTCAGGAAAAAAACACCAATTTGCAGAATATTCACTAATCTACAGTGTTACAAAAACTGTCTCATTCTGTCAATCATTGAAGGTAAAAGCATATTAGACATTCATAGTAAGAATATCTAATATGAATATTAGAATATCTAATAAGAATATCTAATATGAATATGAATAACATAGAATTTTTCATACGAGACCTTATTCCCAAATTCTCTTCACACAAAAAGCAAATATTAGAAATTATTTACCAAATCCTGAAAGCTTTATATAAATATCAATATTATTATTCTTTAAAATTCAGTATAGGGGCACCTGGGTGGCTCAGTCAGTTAAGCGTCTGCCTTTGGCTCAGGTCATGATCCCAGGTCCTGGGATTGAGCCCCACATCAGGCTCCTTGCTCAGTGGGGAGTCTGCTTCTCCCCTGCCTGCCATTCCCCCTGCTTGTGCTTGCTCTCTCTTTCTCACTCGCTCGCTCTCTGTGTCAAATAAATAAAAAACTTTTTTAAAAATTTAAAAAAATAAATAAAATGCAGTATAAACTAGAATTGTTAATGTACTTAACATAATTGTCAATAAGCTCATAAGAATCTACAGGATATCAACATGAAAGAGCTGTGACACCTTTGATAACCTCCTGCAACTCATAGTCACACATGAAACTATTAAGAACATCAGAATTATAGGACCAAAGCCCATTACTCTTCCAGTCTTCCACTGACTTTGATAGTGCATTAAGGGACACTGATCAGTTGATACTTCATAAGCCACAGAGGGTATAAGGTATAGTTTTGGGCTCTAGTTATGCAGAGAGAAAAGGTACATACCCATGAAAAGGTAAGTTAAAAGGAGAGAAATCACTTTAACTTAAGGTGGTCAAAAGACTTCTAGGAAGCAAAAGTGAGCTGACTCCAAGGATTTCAACAGCCAAAAAGAAGACAGAAGAGCATTCTGGGAATAAATAAAAGTTCAAAAATGCAACATTGTGGAGAAACAACTGGATATCCATATGCAAAAGAATGACATTGGACCCCTAACTCACACCATACACAAAATTTAGTGGGGTGCCTAGGTGGCTCAGTTGGTTAAGCGTCCGACTCTTAATTTCGGCTCAGGTCATGATCTCAGGGTTGTGAGATCAAGCCCCATGTCAGGCTCTGTGCTGAGTGTGAAGCCTGCTTAGGATTCTCTCTTTCCCTCTCCCTCTGCCCCTCCCCACTCACTCTCTCTCTGTCACTCCCTCCCTCTCAAAAAAAAAATTTCAAAATGAGTAAAAGACATAACTGCAAGAGATAAAACTATAAAATTCTTAGAAGAAAATTGAGGGGTAAATCTTCATGACCCCAGACTAGACAATGGCTTTTTAATTATGACAATAGAGGCACATGTAAAAAAAGAAAAAATAGACATATTGGATTTCATTAAAAATTAAAAACCTTTGTGTTTCATCATTAAGAAACTAAAATGACAACCCATAGAAGGAGAGAAAATATTGAAGCTCATATAACTGATTAGGGACTTTTATCTAGAATACATAAATAACTCTTATAACCCAATAATATAAACACAAATCCATTTTGAAGATGGGCAAAGGCTATGAATAGATATTTCTCCAAAGAAGATATACAAATGATCAATAAGCCCATGGAAAAATGCTTCACATCATTAGTCACCAGGGAAATTCAAATCAAAATCGCCATGTGATACCACTTCACACCCATTAGCATGGATATAATAAAAAAAACAGATAATAACAAGGCGAGATAATAATAATGGCAACAGTGTGGAGGAATTAGAATCCTCAGGAACTGCTGATGAGAATGCAAAGTGGTGTAGCTGCTGTGGAACACAGTCTAGTACTTCCTCAAAAGGTTAACCACAGAGTTACCATATGACCCAGGATTTACACTCGTAGGTATATACCCAAGAAAAATAAAAACATGTATTCACACAAAAACTTGAACATGAATATTCATAGCAGCACATTCATAATACCCAAAAAGTAGAAACAAACTATATGTTCATCAACTGATGACTGGAAAAAAAAATATGGTATATTCATACAATAAAATATTATTTGGCAATAAAAAGGAATGAAGTATTGACACATGCTACAACATGGATGAACTCTGAAAACATCATGCTAAGTGAAAGAAGCCAGTCTTTCTGGCCACAGACCAGACCACAGATAGTATGGTTCCATTTACTCGAAATGACCAGAATAGGCAAATCTATAGAGACTGATAGTAGATTAGTAGTTTATAGAAGGGTGGGTGGAGAGGAGAAAGGGAATGGCTGCTAATGAGCATGGGGTTTTTTGGGGAGGAGGTAATGAGAATATTCTAAAATTGTGCTGATGGTTGTACAACTTTATAAATATACTAAAAAACACTGAGCTATATACTTTAAATAGGTAAATTGCATGGTTATGTGAATTATATGTGAATAAAACCACTTTTAAAAAAAAAAATGCAAGGTATGTTTGTAGGGAACCATAAATAGACCATTCAGACCAGATACGATAATTGATAGTAGAGGAATGGAAATGAAAACTAGAAAGCTAAGTTGCTGCTATGATATGCTGAAAGCTCTTCAATGCAAAGAATAGGAGTCTGAACTGTATCCTACCTTCCCAACTGATTACCTTAGGATAATAGATATAAAGAGTCCAAAACCTAGTAAGTACCCCCAAATGACAGCTGTTTCTCATTATTATCATTATTAGGAGGTCTCTGATAATTTTATGCTATGTATTCACCTTGCTCGAACCTCTACATTAGCCTCTTGGGGCCTCCATAGTCTGAATTTTACGTGACCGCTTGGGCTTAGCTCTCCCAAGGCCAGAGGTCCATCCAACTTAATCCAATTTCCTTGTGAAAATTAAAGAAGATAACAGAAAACAGCTTGATTTTTGGACTTCTAAAAAGCAGAAAATAATTTCAGAGCCTTGAAATTCTAGAGCACAATGTAATGAACAAAAGTAATATCCACATAGGTAAATTAGACTTGTAAGTTATCTTGATGTAATAGAATGCCACTGGAATAAGTGAAAGACAATTAAGCTCAATAATGGCTACATTCACTAGAAGTTACTTAGCCAGACACACATCACCAGTAGGAACTGTTAGAGAATATTAGTGTGTGGAAGAGAGTGAGCCTTACAAGAACAAGGGAGAAACTGAAAGTCACCCAAGACAACTATAGTTTTTCTAGCTCTGATGGATCAGGCCTTTGAGCTACATGAGGAAGCATATAATTTTTTTCCACGCTTCTCTCTATTGAACAAAATAATTCAAAGTACACATGCATTACAAAGTTCAGCATTTAAAGAGCACCGACATTGTATTAATATTAAAAATAAGCCAAGAGAGAAGACATAATTTTTCCTTTGGGTTTCTTACCTTTTCATTTAGGATCATGAGGGAGAGATAACTTTTCTGACCAACTTTTTAATTGTCAAGTAGATAATGAATATGTATGCAAATCATCAGAGAGTCACTAAAGAAATCCCCCAAATAGGGCGCCTGGGTGGCTCAGTCGGTTAAGCGACTGCCTTCAGCTCAGGTCATGATCCTGGAGTCCCTGGATCGAGTCCCGCATCGGGCTCCCTGCTTGGCAGGGAGTCTGCTTCTCCCTCTGACCCTCCCCCTTCTCATGTGCTCTCTCTCATTCTCTCTCTCTCAAATAAATAAATAAAATCCTAAAAAAAAAAAAATCCCCCAAATAAATTAACAAAGGAAATGGAAAAAAGAGCAGACTATTTCAGTTCTAACTATTCAGTTTAGAATTTATTCCAGTTGTCATTTTGTATCTAATGATACCCAAGTTACTTTTTTTTTTTTTGATGTGTTCACTTACTTTACTAACACTACATTTACCATGTTATCACCATGGAATGTAAATTCAGGTTAGACAAGAAAATTTCACAAATGTAATAAAGCATTCTAGAGTATACCAAAGTTTGTGTATAATGTCTGACCAAAACCTTGCTGGTAAATCATTAATCACTTCAACTATAGGTAATTTGTTAACATTAATGATTCTTACAGAGAAAATAAACAAATTTCATACATTTAGAAAGCGTTTTTCATTTACCTTTGCATTAGTACTTAAAATACACATTTCTATTTCAAGATGCCATTTAAAAATTATTCTAATACAACAGCAGCATAAATATAACTCTGCAATTACAGAAAAACCTAACTGGGATTTGGTTTAAATACACATATTTTCAGTTGTGGGGAAGCTTATAATATTATATTCCATGCACTGTTCTTGAAAGGGTTAAGAGCTAACCAGCCCTAAAAACTGAAGTAATCAGTCTGCAAAACAGGCAGAAAAAAGTTAAATTAAACAGGATTTCTACATAACATCAAAAGCAACTGGGAGTACTTCAGGATTGGCATATTGTCCTCTTTATAACTAATTGTATCAGAAGAGTTTAAGAAGGAGCATATTTTACCACTATCAAGTACATTTAAAAGTGACATCTTTCTTTTGTGCTAATTTGACTCCCCTGAATGACCTAACTAGTTAACTAGTCAGTAGTAATTTGGTTCCCAGGCAAATCAAACCTGCAAGAAAGGAAGCCAATATTTAAATTACCATGTTGTTGTCTGACCCATTCAGATGATTTATTTTCAGCATAAACATATAAACTCAATATGAGATGCCTAACTAAAGCAAGCACCACCAATGAAACCAAGACAGCTTTTCTTCTTCTAAGGTTTAGGTCTTGCCCAGAATCCCTTATACATGGAATAGCCCATACCAAGGGTCATTGCTCCCACAACAAAACCTTGGGCTGCCACACACATGTGGATCAGGTGAGCAGACATATGCAACGATTGCTGCAAACCCCATGCTTCTTTAGCTTTCTGGATATGTTTAGATCCCTGATCTTCATCATAGGAGGAAAGAGAAACATCTGTGCTGGTTGACACAGTGACTGAAGAATCCTCCTTCCTAGAATGATACCACCCAAGTTACTTCGAAGCTTAGGACAGTTATCAACAAGTGAACAGAAAGTGAACAAAACCTCTAACATAAAGGGAGATTCTCCCACATAGTAGTAAAGCAGCTTTTGCCAAGGCTGCAAGGACCAGTCCTCCCTAGGATTCCACAATGTCAGAACCTGCTCGACTTTCTGCCCTTCTCGTTTCCAAGCTGGAGAAGCAACCTCCTCTTCCAAGTTTGGTTCTGCCCCAAACTGACACTAGCCTGGTATAAGAAATTAGTTGGCATTAGTCAGCACACAATGACATGTGGTTCAGAAGAACTCTGAATCGAAGAAAAAAAACTAACCAGAGATTTGAAAACCACTGGGGATAACCCACCTGTGATTAATCAAGTGGTTAAACACAGACAAACCATATGTATATTACTTCTCTTTAAATGCCCCGAACTGCATGTGGTGACCTGAGCTTCAGCAGTCTGCTCATGGGGCCACTGGGTGGTTTTTCCACTGACATCCTACCTGTCATTTGTGTTTATGTATCTTTAAAAGGAGGAGGACAAGAATGAAGATAAAGGCATTATCTGCAAGCTATTCTGAGAACATGGAGTCTTTTACAATTTCTTTTTCTCTCATTTAAAAAGAAAAACTTAACTATATACTAAGCCATATAAATTCCAAGGACAGTTTAATCACTTCTATTAGTCAAATACAAGTTATTCATGTTTCCAATTATAATAGAATGGCTACTTTTAACAAATATAGTCTTCCTCCAAGTCCATCTATTTATTTTTTCAAAATACAATATATTTCTTCCTACTTCCCAACCTTTACCGGAATTGAAAAGGCAGGAAGTATCCCAGCCTTTGAGCCAAGAGAAAGCACTATTATCACCTATCCTTGTAGATCAGAAAAAAAACCCTGAGGTCTGAAGTTTCATTTCTAAACCACCTCTCATATAGAGACTATTATCTGGTTGGAAGGAAAAAACTGCCCTAGCCTTAGGACCTAAGCTTATTTTGTCTCTGAACCAAACAAGACTACAGTTCCTAACAGAATGGCATAATAAGCAAACTTCTAAGATCTATAGTCAGTAATTTGCTAAAATTACTCCAAAAGACAGTATAGGAAGCATAAAACTTCTGCTAAGTATAATATTTCTCTTTCTATGACTTAAGGAAAAGGGACTTAGAAATAAACTACTAGGTGGATTTAAAAATAAGAAAACTACAAATCTATTCAAGATGAAAATAAGCAAGTGGCTAGAGTAAATGATGGCCTTAATATGTTCAAAATTAATAGAAAGGAAAAGAAAAAGTAATAGGAAATTCTAAGAATGGAAAATCTAGAGGCAAGCGTATGTCTCCCAAGTGGAAAATCTAACATTAGACATTAAAACCTAGGCATTCTCTCTCTGGATGATCTTCTTACAAATTATCCACAGGAATCCAAATATCAGAGAAAAAAACCCCGGCACATGAAAGTCAATACCTGAATATATGCTCTGGGAAAAGGAACAGCAAGAACACTCTTGCTGAATGGAATACAGCAGCGATTTACAGCTAACACATTTAGGACTATTATAAACTATTATTGATTAGGATTAATAAAGATAGCCAAATGCTGAGTTCCAAAATAAAATTTGGAAACACTCCAGAATAATTCTAAAATTGTGCATCCTATAGAGGAGCATGAATATATAATTGAATACTGTTTGCCAAGAAACTGACAAAGATTCTAACATTCCTGAATTACTTTTATGAAGGATGACTTCTAGAGAAACCATAATAATGCTATACATCTGAAATACATTTTTTTTAAAACACAGAAAAGGAGGGCATGTTTGCAAACCATATGCCTGATGGAATTAATTTTCAAGGTCCTGAAGGCAATTTATACATATTTTGTCAAAAAAAAAAAAAGTGGCCATAGGCATGTTTACTTGGGAAAGGAAATTAAAAAAAAAGATGTGGCTGGGCCAGCCATACTAAGTAGTCGGTAAAGTAAATTCTTTACTGAACTCTTTTTCCCTCAACTATTTTCAGATCTATGAGGCCCCTGGGTTTCATCTTTTCCCTAGTCCCCCATCAAAATGTATTTGCAATATGGATCTAATATCACCACTTTGTTCCTTAGGCCCTGTGTTGCTATTCTCAAAGGTCTCTGCTTTCTTTCCCATTATTAAATAAAAGGCTTTGTCCTGGTTGAAGTAATTTCAGCATTCAGAGAGCAACTGGGGAAGTTATAAGGTTATTTTACCTTTGAAATCTTACTATTAAACAACTGCCCATTCTATTTTCCTATAAAGCCAGTCTTGCTATGGGAAAGATAACCCACACATTGAAACTCCTTCTTAAACTATTTCAACTCCATATAAAAGTAGCAGGTTCTCTTTTTACATCAATGTTCCTCCATCTTTTTAATCTGGTCGACCCTATTCAGTGACTGAAGAACCCATTCCACAATTTCTATTATCTCCTACCAAGAAGGTGTACAAGAATATAAAAGCATCCCTGTTGTTAATTCAAAAGAAGCTAGTGATCTGAGGAGCCCAGAGAAGGTGACCCTGGGAGAGGTGATAAACCATACTGCACACATTGAAGAAATAGTGATTTCCTGGCATAAGCTTTCAATTGTTTCAGAAATCCTACTTCTCCCTTTTTCATTTTTAATCAGGGCGGTGGAGCTGCCACAAATGTTTAGTAGTTGGAAGGCAATGGTCAAAAACTCAAATGCTTATCCGGGCTCAGCAGCTCACAGAAATACAAGCTGTGGGCTGAGCGAGTGAGACACAGGGAGTGAGATACAAAGAGGTAGCAAATTCCCCTACAAGTTACATCTGTAACTCAGCTACATTGTGGCCATACAATGTTGCCAAATCATTTTTTTTAAGAAACCAGAAATACAGATTTTCTTGTAAAATTTGTTAGCAACTACCAATAATTCAAATTTTAAAAAACACTGGCTGAGACAACTCTGGGTGACACAAACTAAAGCCATCAGCTGTCAGGGTGTGTCTCATTTGTCACCCATTTGGTGCCTCTTTTACATAGTTATGATCACCTGGTTCAATTCCCTGATGATTTTACAGAAGAGACTTTACCTATGGAACCCAGAGAAATTGAGTAATATGATGGTTAATTTTATGTGTCAACTTGGAGGATGTTTTGGGATGAGATTAACATTTAAATCCGTGCATTTGGGGTAAAGCAGGTTGCCCTCCATAATGTGGGTGGGACTTACACAATCATTTGAGGGCCTGAAAAGAACAGAGTGGTCTCCCTGAGCCGGAAGACTCCAGATCTCTGGAAGGTTCTCTAGAAGATTGCTTTGGGACTTTATCTGTACTATCAGCTCTCCTGGGTCCCAAGCCCACTGGTCCATACTACAGATTTTGAACTCACCAGCCTCCATAATCACATAAACCAATTCTTTATAATAAATATATGTATATATGTGTGTGTGTATATATATATATATACACATCCTACTGGTTCTGTTTCTTGAAAGAACCCTGACTAACATGAATGATTTGGCCAAAGTCACATAGCTACTTTGGGGGCAGGTCGGAGGAAGAATTGTTCTAACTCTGCCTAGAATATGTTCCAGTATATGTACTAGACCAGTAATCCTGGTGGAGTGAGAGAAGACATTACAGATATGCCTATGTGTATGTATATAAACAATAAAAACCTGAGACAGTATTTCTCAAAGTGTAATTGCAGCACTACAGAATCATGTAGATGCTTGCTTATATGCAGAGTCCTAGGCCTAGCTCCAGATCTATTGAATCCAGGTCTCTAAGGTTTAGTCCAGGAATCTGCATCTTGAAAGTTCCCTAAGATTATTCCAATTCCTACTAAAATTTGAAAACACTGAAGTAATTAGGAGGCAATGCAGATTAGTGGTTAAGGGCATGGATTCTGAAGGTAAATTCCCTGCGTTTGAAGCCCAACCCCACCACTTACTAGCTATGTGAGTGACCTTGGGCCAGTGATAGAGATGATGTGAGGATTGAACAACAAAAGGTTATAAACACTTACACGTAATTAGCATGTAATTAATGGCAGGAATTACTACTAAACTCTCTCATCACAGGTGTTTTGGCACAATTTCAGTATCATGCTAATCAATATTTATAGTGATGATCACAGTGGCACTTTAAGATCTTGAATTACTTTCTGAAGCAAAAATCAGTGTGGTTAGATGCTCAGTGCTTCATTTTATGCAAATTCTTTGTAACTTGGTGATTTGTGTGTAATATTTACAATAACTTTCTGGAGATTAAAATATTTTATTAGCATGAATACCACATTTGGCTATAACACATAACAGAGAGTCTGCTGTATATGTGCACCATGTAGCGTGAAGACAGAAATATTCTTAGGTAGTATGGTCTTTCTGCAATCCACTGATCTCTTCTCTATTTCTGTAAGGGTTGATGCTTATTTTATTTATGTTTTAGCTCTCCAGCCCCTAGGTCAGACAGCCTCCATTATACTTATTCAAAATAAATTATTTCTTGAATTAAATTTTAACACTAATATAATGGCTTTGATCCAACCTTCTTCCACTAACAAATTGTCATGATACTATCTAAAGAAAAATATACACACAGTAGTTTAAAAAGTAAGCTAGAAATAATATGGACTCGTGGAATATTTAAATGATCTCCATGCCTCTCCCCCAAAAAAGTCCAATTCACTTGTATTTTAATTTTTTACCCCACCAAACTCTTAACCAGAGAGCAGTTATCAGCTAATAAACTGAACTTACCCAAATACAGGAGCTAGCACACAAGTAAAGGGAAGCCATATGAGAGAAAATTGAGAGAGGCCAGAAATATGGAAGTCTTTTTGATCATTGAGAACTGGATATAAAAACTTGGGTCTCTTTGTGTTTGAATTTGAGAAGGTCAAAAATCATCTTTTAACAGAGTGGATCTGCTTTAAGACAACTTAAAACATGGGAAATATTGGGCGCCTGGGTGGCTCAGTTGGTTAAGCGACTGCCTTCTGCTCAGGT